GGAAGGAAGGAAGGAAGGAAGGAAGGAAGGAAGGAAGGAAGGAAGGAAGGAAGGAAGGAAGGAAGGAAGGAAGGAGAAGGAGAGAGGAATGGGGAGGGAGGGAGGGAGGGAGGATGGATGGATGGATTAGGGGAGACAAAAGGAATGGAGAGACAGGAAAAAAAGGAGAAGGGGGGAAGAAGGGAAGAAGGGAAGAAGAAAGGACCTAAAGATACTGTAGTACATCTACCAGAATAATTTCATCCTGGGCCAGCTTTGATCAATTCAGAGTGGATAGTTCATCGGCCAAAACTCTGAATGCAGATTCAAACTATGCTCACAGCAAAACAATGAGACTGTATTGGGAGGCTGAGTGGTTAATATAATCTCTAATTCTCCAAAATTATATAGGCTTTCAATAATCAACCACTCAAGACACACAGCACACAGATTGTGTTTGGATACCCTTCTCTCAGCTTAATAACCGAAGATGCAAAGAAGCCTGTTGGCTGAAACCGAAGCCTGTTTTGCTCCCTCCTTAGTGTGAATAACAATTAACTGAAAAACTCCTCTATAAATCAGAAGGACAGACAGAAATGGGTGTCATTACAGTATCTTCTTCTAGAATGTCTTCAACTTCCCACCTTCAAATTCTGTAATCTGGGATTTCCTGACTAGTTTCTGAGATCAATCAGGGTCTGTAGGCACTGCTACCAGAGCTTGGCCTATTAACTGTGATCCTCAGTTTCATGCAAGCCAGCAAACTATGATTAGCACTTTGCAATAAGACAGGACATTATGTCATAGTAGGAAGTCTGTTTAATGCTCTAGTTTACTGTATTATGAAAACATTATCCATAGCTTCCCACTTTGGATGAAATATGAAATTAGTTATTGGAAAACATCTAGATTTGCCTTCTCATGAGCCAAAGAGACACCTTCATATCTGAGTTGGCTAATCACAGATGCAACTTTCTGAATACAGCCAGTCTGTGCACACACAAAAAGTTTGCACAGATTACAATTGAGAAGAAAATTGTTAAAACTAAAACACTGGTGATCTTTGAGCAAGCAAGGTTGATTTTTAGTAATAATTATTGCATATCCCGCCTTCCCTAAATAATTTTGCTGTTCTTGCAGATGATAGGAAGATAGGAATGGACGAATCATAAAGGAAGGTCTTCCCATTAACAAATACTGTATAAATATTGATTTTGAGTGGGGCTATCTAAAAGCATGCTAGGACTCTCTGAGGTTAGAAACTTTTGCTGCTGTTTTTTTTTTTTTTGCTTACATATCTCTTTCAGTCCCAGAAAGGTCCTGAAAGTTAAGCTCAGCTTTCAAAACCCACAGTGACTTAACTGCAGAGCCACGTAGGTTTTCTAGAAATGCATCTTTGGACAAAAATACAAGCCAACCCAGGACGGGAATGTCTGGCTGGTAATTAACAGGAGGGGCTTAAAACCAGTTCCCCACGTGCTCAGCTCAGGGACTGAGGCCAAGCCACCAACTGCCCAATGGCTGTGAAGGCAAAGCTCTCTTTGAGATAGCTGACCACTGAGATACGTCAGGGAGCAGGATAGGAAATTCTCTGGACTACATCAACATCAGGGTGAAAGGAAGGCCCTCCTTGCTCTTTCATCCAACACATGAGCCTATCTCAATTCTCCCTCCCACCTCCAATTTTACAGGATCTTCTGACTTTTCTACTGTCTGGAGTTAAAGAAAGGTCACTGAAGACATTCTCTCTCTCCAGTTTGCAAGGAATCAAGCTTTGCCCTGGCCTGGCTTCTCAGTGTGCAAATGCCAACATCCCGTGTTCCTCATCTTTAACCCCCATGTTGCACCATCCCTTGCTCTTTGGGCTGTCCCATTTGAGAACCTTTAATGGAAAGGGAGACAACTCAGGAGCTAGGATCCCGAAGACAAGGGAGTTCCCATCAAAGAGAAAGTGGCCTGTCCACAAACTCTCTGGAACTCAAACTTTGTGTTTGAGTATGAGTGGAGGTAAGGTGGCAGCAAAACCAGAAATAAATCAGCCCAACTAGCAGAGGCAACAGCTAGTCACATGGGGATGGCGCTGGAGCATCCAAACTCTCTCTGGATGTGGAGAACA